AACGCATATAAGTTCATCTAGAAAATCAGTATAAAAGGTCAATTTGAGAAAAAAAACTGATATTACGGCCAATGACTTAGAAACAGTAAAGCTTAACATATCAGATAGTCAATATCAAAATGAGACTTGGTATTACTGGGTAACAGGTCAAATTGATATATGTCATGTCGGGATACAAAGCAACAGGGTGAAATCCAAGGGAATTTAAGTAGTAAAATCTGACTCACTGATTGTAGAACCTCGCACATGGGTGCATCGACTCAAGTTGCCACATTTCACACTTGCATACAAGCAACAGGCAGACAAAAAAATTGATATTCAAGTACAAAAAGATAAAGGTTCGTGCGAATATTTAAGCTTTAGAAGATGTCAAAGATTGAATACATCAGCGCCACTGAGAGCGACTTTCAGCCGTATCACCAACCACTGATTCCTATCGTCGTAAGAACGCCAGACAGCTAGTCTACATCTCTCCGCAATGCTCGGACCAACAATCAGGGACTTCATCAACTTGTGCCAGGTCTTCATCTTCCCTCCATGACCCCTGTTTCAACCGAATCCAACTTCTGCTAGCATGACACGTCGAGATAGGCGGCGGCTCGGCATGTTCAAGCCGCTTCAGTCGATTAAGATTCACAGCCTCATCAGCCGACTTGCCTAATACTCTTCGCCTGACCAAAACACTGCTCACACAGTGATTCCATCAAACGCAAGCAATGCTACGAAGACATATATGACTGCTTCATTTATTTTACTTTTAACAGCCATGACTCACAGTAGTACAACAGGACAGAATGGACTGCAGCGCAGTATACTCCTCCTTTGATAGACAGTCGGATATCTCGCCACTGACTGCCACAGATGACGCAAGTTTGCAAATGCCGAACGGCCTTTATATATCCGATCTGAGATTTCGTCAGCAACCAGTCCGTTTGGTTTGATGCAACTCCCCAAGTAAGTGAAGTTGTCGACACATTCCACCAATTCACTCCTTACTGTTAAACTGAGAGTGGTTGCAAACCAGTCCTGGAGCATCGTCTTACATTTGACAGGTAGTAAAATCAAACGGTCAGGAAAAAAAATCAACAGATGATCAAGCAAATAACAGAATCTGACACAATGATTCGGAAAATAAGGTGCAGATAAGTCAGTGTTACCACGGTCGAGTCCGAGATTTAACACCCATGGTCTCCAACCATCGACCTCGATGAGCATATGAACAGCCGCATGGATGTATTTAATTATCATCTCTCACCCTAAATGCTGGCTATTTGTGTTATTGCGTAATTATGAACTAATTTCACTTTGATGTCTTGATCCTAATTTGCAGACCATTACACGCCTCTTTACAGTTTCGCTTCTTATGTTTTGTGAGAAGTGTAACAATCGACACACTTTATGACTCTACAATATTTAATTTATCTGCTTTGTTATTTTCTATAGTTAGCAAGTAAATCATCTACTCGAGGCTTTAATTCAAAGAATTCTTCGTCTCATCTACTGAAAATCCCCATCGAATTCCGAATGTGCAAATAAATGTTGGTTCAATATGGTTCTAACTGTACTGTGCGATTTCGGTGTTAGAAACATACAGTCAGTAAAACTTCTCAGCATCGTTCGTTTAGCTGCTACATTAAAAATTAAATGAAGGAAGCACAATGATCGAAGCAGAATAACACTGCATCATTTTACTTCACTGGTTTCTTGTCAGCTGTTTACAACTCAAAAGATTTAAATATCATGTAATAAAAAGATTTGAAAATACTTTACATAGATCAAATTAGTTAAGACGAACCAGTGTGCTATAATAAGGATAACGTTAACAAGACATGCTACGAAGTTTCAGTCAAATATCTTATTCAACAAAGGGTTTTGGTACTGTGAACAAAGGATCACATAAGAAGGCTAACAAGTAAGTTAGTTGGTAGTAATTTAACAGACATATTGTACAATAATATAGTAAGTTGAACCGAACTGGTGAAACGACCACCAAAACTTCGTACAAATAGAAAAAGGTCCAGTCAAAAGATGATATCACCAAGTGACAGGAAGATAAAAAGATAAGGTTCCTTGGATAAAGAAAAGACTAATCATTGTTTATTTTTGAACAGATAATTCCAGTTTCAGTCTCTTGATCGCGACAACCTCAACAAACTTCGTAAGGTTTGAACTACGCTGTTCTTGATCACAATGAGGGATTTTAAGGTATCTACTTCATGTTTAACGTCGATAAGATGCTGAGCGACTGAACTGCGGCAAATAATTTTCCCTTGAGGTGTAGGTTTTTATGTATATGCTTCAAGAATGTAAGGGATGCTCTGCTCCTACTTCCCTTAAAGTGAACACTACCGCATATGCACGTAAACTTGTGCACCCAACTAAAGTTACCATGGGACGGGGACCTGTTGAGTTTTGATTGAACCAAAGATTACGTTATTCTGTAGAGAGGAACCAACTTAGCTGCATGACATGTTCTGTTTACCTTTCTGTTAACTCTCCACGCTACATCGTCATGTTTTGAGTACAATAGAAACTAGTTTCTTGCTTACTGTAACTCAGTTTTCAGATCCTCCATACTTTTTAATCTTTTTGTTCGTGAAGATTCCTATTCATAAGATCGTTGATATTACCTCTCAGCGTCCCGACCTTCTACCTCAGGCAACTGTGGAATACAGATGCTTTCTATTCAAATGTACTGAAGACATTCAGTTTCAATTCAGATGTGCTACGTGTTGCCAAAGTGATGGAGTAGCAATGGTCAGCTTGTTGGGTCTAATGTTCGAGGCTGTCTTTAAGGCCAACCTTGAGAAAACAAAGTTTAAACAGGCAATCACAGAAACGACTTCTTATTCCAGATAAGTCGACTACACTTCGTGTTCAACGACCCACTTCATGTATTCAACTTATTAAAACTCTTCAGTCATGCTCATCAAACCATGGAGTTCACCAGAGAACACGAAACAATGATACATTCAGCCTTTTGGTTATTGCCCTAGAATATGGGAAATATGGTAGTCTTCAAACGTTCGTTCATTGAAAGACTGCATGAAATGGACTAGACCCACACTTCAATAGTCCCATTATATTTCTTTGTTATGTCAAAAAAAGATGCAACAGTATTATTAAGTGATGTTTCGAGTAAAGCTTATTGCTCATAATCATGTCAAGATGACCAAACGACTTTCTGGTCCAGTTTTTATAGTGTTTTTTTCATTCTTTGACTGAACTGGCAGTTTGATTCTTTGTATATTTATCAGTTGTCGATTCAGCTACTATTCTCTCTCTCCATCTGCTTAAATCATATTGTAAAATTGTCACTAAATCCCACCCTAACGTGTGGTTGTGTGTGACAACATGAGTAGCTCTGTTTGTTTCGCTTTCTAGATTCCTTTTCCTATTAGAGTCTACCATTCTATTTCTGGTTAGGTCTTTGTGTTCTGCTAACCCAATTCAAACCAGTCGGCTAGTTTAACCTATATTATTACATGGAATTCGGTACACCAAACCGTTTTGTTTAGTAGGCCCGATAGGATCTATTAACCAACAAAGCTTGTTTCTAAATTAGTTTGTAGGTCTAAGTACGACTCTAATCTCAGCATCATTAAGAACTCTACGTAAGGCTTCTGATATCCCTTCGTCATGTGATAAAACCATGGAGGTGTTAAACTTTTTCGCCACAGGTTCACTATTAGTACTTCGTATTTGCAGTTTTATTACGCGCAGTATTTTTCTTACTACTCTCTGTGCTTCTGGATGCACTCACTGGTGCAGCTACTTCATTTCTTGAAGAAGATTCTCTGTCTAACTAGTTGGTCTCATGCCCCTTTACTTAAACATTTAGCCAAGCCTGCCTTAATCGATACCGGATGAGATAACCTGAAGTCTAAGTATGGATTACAGTGTGAATGCTCCGTGTAAACACTAGTACCTAAACCTCTATCTTACCGACGTTTGATTTTGCAATCCAACATAGTTCTATTTCGTCGACTCCTACCTCATGTGCGAATTGGATTGGATCAACTATCGAGTTTGTGTTACAAATATGTCGATATGTTCTAATTTCAGCACTGTAAATTTGTCGTCTACATACATGCAGGATACTGTGAGAGTAGGAATAAATGTTTCTAGAGAAATGCATTCCCAACTGCCCATAAATATATATGCCACCTAGATGGACCCATTCCAAACGGCCCCAGTAATCTTGTTGTGATATCTGATCCTTGGAATCTTTCTCTCTCTATCCATCAATTCTTTCTACGTCATATTATGCGCACCAGAAGACGCAACGAACAAAGAAGGTAAACCGAACATCATATACAAAATCAGACGCGATAACGGCTACATTGGACAAATGATCGCCATCCTCGTCTATGGGAACATCGATTTTGAAAATGTAGAGATCGCAGACAACAAGAACACAGAGGGTACTAAAAGATTCTTAGAAGCTTAGTATTCAAGTCAATCAACTGATGAAAAATAAAAGTGATAAACAACCATTAAGTCAGAGGTCAAGCAGAAAAATAACCAATCGAAAAATTTGTGCAGCCAATGACACAACAATCAAAATAAGTAACAAATTACACACCACTTCGTCAGGACAGGCTACCGAGTTGATCACGTAGACATCCTGGTAGCTCACTCTATATCGAAGCTCGCGCTTGTGATGTTACCTATGAAGATAATGGAAGCTTCATAATTAAGCCATCCGGCTAAGAGAACGCTACACCATCAACGTTAACTTCATCTGAATGGGATCCCTAGTCCTCGAAGCAGCTAAAAGAATTCTGACAGAATGTACTTCTCAGTAGTTCTAGGAAATGTCAAGCGTGCCATTAAATGATGCCAGTGTACATTTTTTGTATCATCCAAATGAATACTGAGCTGTAATCCCGATATTTAACCGCTTTCGGCAAAACTGATTAATTCCCCTTTTTGCTATTCATACCTGCGCTTCGCTGTCACATTGTTTAATGCAATACATTTTACAGAATTCTCATTTTAAAATAGTAATATTTATTGTGAAAAGTAGCCGCATTCTTCGGATTTATGTTAAAGAAACACACATAAACAGACAGAAAATTTAGAATTTTAAATTGCATCTACCACAATATTAGGCTTATAAATTCAGCAGACTTTTCATCCGTTGTAAAAATGATTTGCAAGTTTTCCTAAATCTAGAGTTCTCTCTCCAAATACCCTTTTTCTTTTTTTTGGCCTTCGAAATCGCTCCAATATATTTAGTGCGAAAATCCTCCGGTAAATCGTCGAGTTTTTCAGCATCAACCATTCCATTTACTAACAAGTGGTACGATATATCTTTTCTAAAAAAATACCACTGGGACAGTGAATAAGAATAACTGGTTACCTTTTTGAAAACGATGGCCAAAAGCCTATCGTCTTGGAGAAGTTTTACAGGAATGAAAACAGTGACATCACCAGGTTGAAAATTTTGTTTCATCCACTGTCTGCTTCTTTCAGAATGCTGCACTGGAATACACACTCGTAATGAATTACCTTTGTTAAGTATAATTATCACTTCTAAAATAGTCTACCAGGTGAAGTATTGATAGGTATCCTAATTTTAGGAACATGGAAAATCTCCAATTCGCCCGTGTGATCTACAGAGTTTATCAATCCTTTAAGACGTATTTGACGACTGTAGACATCAGATGGGATAGCATGGATAGAATTGAACTTAGTGAACTTAAGTGATAAACATATGAATCAGTTTTATTTACAATGTAAAAATGCTTTGCAAGAAGGTACACTCCGAATGCGAAGAATGTAGTAGGCAATAACTGCAGACTATTTAACTCGGAAAGAACTAGACTTACCCTTATAACTTTTAAGTGGTCATCCACATATTTTTGAAACCTATCCATCGCCTATTCACATCCTATAGTGCGTAACTAGATAAAATGGTGACTCTCTAGCTTCCACAAGAAGAACTATCGACAACCAAATGAACTGTGTGACTTACAAAGCGCTAGTGATTTCTCCAGTCAACTTTCACGCAGCACTTCTGCATAAGAAAATAAGTAAAAGAGTGAAAGGGAAACTCAAAACATACATACTTGCACAAAAACTAGTCTGAGTAAAGAATATCTAAGAAAAGTGTTTATGACCCATTGTCAGTGGATGAATATGAAAGAATTCCTGAGATAATTTAATACTCCGTTTTACTGAAGTCAAACATTTGTTCGTTTATCTAGTATTACACAACATACACTATCCCTTGGTAAGTTGAGAGTTAAGTATTCGTGATAAAGCTAAATAGTGACAGTAACAAATCCTGAAAAACTACCTTGAGTACTTTTCAGAGATGTTAAGAAATGACATGTATAGCTAAGTATGATTATTTCTCATTTTACCGTAAAGCTTTAAATATTGGTTTTTCAGACTGGTATCAAGTAAAATATAAACTCACTAGTACCCAGAATATTTTCTTTATATGAATATAGCATTCTACTGTAGGTCGAGATCTCGGTGTACCGTTCATTCATAAGAAAATAAATACTAAGCATAATACGATATCGAAGAATATTCTTGTTTGCCGTTCGTAAATTACAACCTTATTTAGTATAGTATGAAAGCCGGAAATTGAGGCTAATATTAATCAAAAAGTAAATAACTAACTTTTAAAAAACAGTGATTTCATTTCAATGAAACTGCTTAGTCTTTCTAAGTTCAGAAGATGTTTTGAAATACCGAGAAAGGATGAAAAATATTGTAACCATGCTTGCATAGTATGTGGCCAGCTATATAATATGCGGAACGATGACATTAATTCAGAGCAGATATATATTTTTCATAATGGTACTCATTACGAACTGACATCAGTCAGGGAAACATTGGGAACCCGAGGGGCATTGGAGAGCTGTTCCGTCCTGGTTCGAGACCGTTCAGCAGTGAGTACACATGACCCCGCCAGGAGTCTAACCCAAGATCATCAGTATTCGCGGCCAGCAGGTTACCACTGAGCCAGAAGGTCGGAAACCAGTGGTCCAAATTTCATACTACAGTCAATTCACGAGACAGCACCAACTCCATCGAGTGAGGTCGCTGAGTAACTGTCCTCATGTTCAACTTAGATGTGCCAACCGGTCACGAATTCCCATTGGAACTTCACAAATTACCTTTCAACGCTAAACACCAATGCCCACAAGATTAGATCAATCCGAAGGCTTTTGAGGATTTATTTATTATATCGACATAGTGAAATTGTTGCTTTATTTATCCCCTATTTAAGACTGAATGTAGTACAGTAACTGTTACGGATTGATATAAGCTTTATTTATGAAGAACACTCCTTAAAACAAGGCTGTGACTAAACCCAAGTAGGCCAGCGTAACCAAGAGTAACAAGCATGCTAGAGCCACCTCGGACATCATTGGTTCAATAATCTTATCAGCTGATTTCCCTCTGACAACAAGAAGACAGACAAAATCAATGTAAAAACTCGCACACAAGTGCATTGGCTCGAGTTACCAAACTCCACAGAAATATACAAAAAACAGCTGGGCAAAAGAAGGGTGATATCAAAGTACACAAAATTGTGTGAGATAATAAACAATTTAAAGATAAAGGTTCATGCAAATATTCAAGCTTTAGGAGACATCAAAGAGTGAGTAAATGTGCACCACTGTCACCGATTTCCAGCCATTTCACCGAGAGTCCTCAACCACTGATTCCTATCGTTTCGGGGACCCCAGTTAGGCAGTCTATACCCCCATACACAATTCAGACCAATAATCAGACTTAATGCACTAGTGTCACGTCTCGGTCTGGCCACCCTGAACTTTCCCCCAACTCTGTCTAGTATTGCACGTCAAGATAGACAGTAGCCCGGCATGGACAACACATATCCAAGTCATTTTAGTCCATGAAGGTTCAAAACCTTATCGACCGACTTCCTTTTCTTACCCAGTATCCTTCACCTAACTTTGATATTGCTGACATGATAATTCTATCATGCGTGAGCAATGTTACGAAGACACCTATGGTCGAAGACGTGTAACCACTTAATATCTAATTCTAATGACCATATCTCATAGTCGTAAAGTAGGACAAAATGGACTGCAGTGCAGCATATTCATCCTCTAACAGGCAGTCGAACATCGCGCCATTTGGTACCAGAGATGGAGTAAGTTGGCAAATGCCGAACGGCCTTTATGTATCCGAGCTGAGATTTCGTCAGCAACTAGTCCATTCGGGCTGTTGCAACTTCCCAAGTAAGTGAAGTGGTCGACGCTTTCCATCACTTCACTCCTATTGTCAAACTGGGAGTGGTTACAGACCAGTTCTACAGCATCATACATTTGACAGGTGCGAAATGCACGTGAAACATACTGAGATTCCTGCTCAACGCGTTCAGAAGCCCCTTCATTTTGTCATCATCCTCAATGAGCAGGTAAATATTGTAGTTGTACTCCAAGTAAACCAGATGACCTCTGAGGAATAGGTCAATCCCCATGAATTCAGACGTGCCTAAGGTTATACCCATTAGTATGTCTGTGACAAAGTTGAATTGGAACAATGACATTTGGCATCTCTAGTGAACAGCACTAGTTGTCTTCAATTCTGATAACAACTCTCCATAAGCCTTTACGGGACTGCTTTAGTTGAAGTAGAGAGCTTTGATTAGCACTATGTACTTGCTCGTTACTCTTTTCATAGTCAGGCATCGGTACAACATCTCACGGTCGACAGTCAAATGCATGTGAGTGGTTGACACTGCATGACTCCCTACACCATGGGAGTTGTTTCTACAAGGCAGCTGAAAAAGATTTGTGTGACATTAGAGCCCTTGGGATATGTCCTTGGGTCTTGTCACTGACAGACATTTGAGAGTTGTTGATTTTTCTCCGGTTTTTTTGTTTTAACGCCGGGTAGGACAAACACATACCACCGTCACCTGAGGATCGCCGGTTTGAAAGGGACGCTACTTTTTGAGGCGAGCGTTTTCAAACCCCGCCTCTTTCCATAGGGATGCTGCATCAGCATATTACTTCTGGTCATCCGCGGGAAATATCTTACCTCTGTCACACCCCATCCAACCAGCATTGCAACTTTGCCCTCGGACCCCCATCATCGGGTTGAAAGTTACACTATAACTGTAACTGCTTTTCGTCCTACCACTTTCCAACAGACCTTTTTGATATGGTAAAACCTCAAGGGAACACAGGCGTTCCAGCCAGTGCAGCTCGTTGGCCCATTAAGATACGCAACCCTGACCACCACATCAAGGTATCAGCTATCGGGTGGCCCGTCTGCATATTTGACTTCTTAGTCATTGCACGGGATTCACTAAAGTGCATTCTTCTATCTGAATTTTAAAAGGGTCGTATGACTCACAAGGCTTACCGATGAGTGGGTCTTCAGTTTGAGACACCATCCCAATTTAGGCCTAAACGACAACCTTATGTAGAGCTTCTCATATGCCGGAAAGTCTATAACTAATAAAATCGAAGGACAAAAGGTAGTAGAACTATAAAAGTAAAACGTATAGTTACATCAATATGATCCTAAGCATTAAAATGTCCAGGGAATTATACTGTTTCATTTTGTGATATACGCAGTAAACTAATAGTGACCGTGGGAAGATATATATATCATCCATTCGTAACTAGCCTTACTTGGTGTAGCAAGTATACCTTCAATAAAAGGCCCCTAGAGTCAGGTAAACTGGGGTAAAACCTGGCAATGAAGTGCAGCAGTTTGCCGTGAATCCATGGGATTCAGCCATTTCTGTATAAATATTCGACTTGCTACACGGATGCAGATGAGACTGACAGGCAAAAATAACACATTATCAAGTAGTTTAAAACCTTATTGACAGTAATAGACTCAGTAAAATCATTAACTGAGATTTCAAAATGGCTTACCCACTGTTTTCTCACGAGCATTATATGACTCAAACACATGTATGCCTTCCTTATTCCACCGTATCTTTCTCCCCACAAAGTATTTACATTGACAGTCGTATTTACTGGATGACGATAACACTTCTTATGAAATGTATCGTAAAAATATTATGTGCATCCAACTCTTCAAGCTTAGTTTTTTCCATCGGTATGCTCGAATGTAGTGCTTGTTAATTAATTTGTCAGTAAATTACTGGTTTTTAATATAACAAGCAGAAAATTGTACTCATGCATATTTATTTACGTACGTTTTCGCATAGAGTAATTATCACAACAGCTTTCGAAACCAATGGGCTCCAGTAATTTTATCCAAACTTACTGATGTATCAAGACCATACTCAGTGATTACTATCAGTAAAGAGTTGGTTGGTCACAAAAGAGCAACCAATTTCATGTTGTTTAGTCCCAAGTGGTGACCGATTTCTATCGATCGTTTTTTCGATACAGCCATCATGCTAGGAGGCTCAGCATCGCAGTACACATTGATAGATGTTAGTTGATTAGAGGCAACCGACAGGAAGCCTTGGACCTAGGTTTCATTCTTGTTGACACTCGTCAGCAAGGTGTACCCGTAATCTTGATGGAACTGATGTCCTGCATAAGATGCAAGCCAGTCCTGCAGGAGGCCAATCGCGGCCCGAATAGCTCAGTGGTAATGTCTCTGACTAAAACATTGGGTAGCACAAGTTTGAATCTTAGGTGGGACATCGGTCCCGCCGAAGCTGCAGTTACGCCTTGCTGACGAGTGCCAACAAGCATGAAACGTAGGTCCAAGGCTGCCTGCCGATTACCTCCAACCAACTAACATCTGTCAGATATATGTAAGAGATACTTGCTCTTAAGTGGTTTATAATATTTCCTCAGGCTGAAGCAGCATTTGTATTCTTTTTTAAAACTGTTATTCTACATTTACTTCCAAACTACTCACACTTTTAAAGTATGAAATAATTTTTGACTCCTCATTTTATCCGACTTCCTATTTTTTGCCGTACATATGGCTGCGACCCAATTTTACTTTGTTCCACCCCGTCATCGCCCTGGGAAAACATTGACTAGGATCACACTGAAATTTCTTATTATTCAGCCAGCATCAACATGG